CCCCAAAACCCCAAAACCCCAAAACCCCAAAACCCCTTAATGCTTAAAATTTTAACATTAATGGAAATTAGATTATTTAACTAAAAATATCCTTGACAATATTTACTTTCTTTAATATTTAGGATCATTTAGGATGTAGTTGAACTATACTTGCATCACCTATTTTTCCAATGTCTGCCCTGTTAGGGGATGGTTAAATAGATTTGCTCTATTAATTATTAAGTTTAAGCTTTTCTAAAAGAGTTTTTTAATGAAATATCGCATCAGATTCGTTTGAATTGATATAATTTGATCTCTCTCTTTCATCCTAGCTAAATGGTCTCATCTCATAATTTTTAATATCACTTTAATTTGAAAGGTAATTAGAATATACCCTGATTCTATCATTGTTTTAAGAATTTAGAAATCTTTATTACTACTATCTTTACCTTGTCATTTTCTGATTTTTAGTAGACACTATTTCTGAGCTATTATCTAGCCTATAAAGGCTGTAGTTATTAAAATTACTAACTCCTTACTCAGAAGGATGAATAATTTATCTCTTGCTATCAGTGAAAATTTTCTGATCCGATTCCTTAACTATAATAGGAGTAGTGTAGTTATGTTTTCTCCAGGAACTAGATAACTCAAAAGTAGTCTCTTATCTCAACTTCTCGAGCTAATCAAGTTTCTTATAAATTTTTCTAAGTTCATCAGGCTTAATAACTTGAGATTCAGCTGGGAATATATCTTGCTCGCTCTGAAAGAAAAAATCTTTATCGAAATCTCGCATGTAACGCTTAAAAGATGCGTTTCTGTTTTTAATACTTTAACTTCCCTTAGTTGTTTCTAAACGTAAGGAGGTATAATCATTTCCATGATTATTGCTTTAATCTGCACTTTCATTTTTATCATTTGATCTTTTTGTCATATTAGTCTTTATAATGAAATCATTAAGTATACCTATTGTTTATCTCGTTTGATTCCTTAGTTTAGAATGTTCTTTCTCGTTTTACTCATTTTCCAACGATGTTTATATTGCAATATTCTTTTTCACCGGAACCTTCTATCTATTAGTTTATTATTAATCTCTGTCATCAACAATTTTTTAGGCTTAGCTGCTTGAATTTCTTATCTACGCTTCTCCAGAGACCTAAATGTCAGAATTTTATTTCTTAATAGGACCTTTGGTGATAGTGGGTGGCTTAAGAACTATATCTCTTGGTGACTTGCTTATCTCATCAAATATTTCAGTCACAGTAATATTTTAATTTTAACTCTATCTATTGTTTAAGAATTTTAAACTGAGTCTTATGAGCTCTAAAATAGTAAATTTTTAATTCTCAACCAATTCAAATTCAATGCTATCGAAAACTCTATCTAGACTGTCTAGTAGATGTTATTACTCAGAAAATAGAAGCAAGTTTTTAGATAAGTTAAAGCCAGAAAATAATTTCTTAATTACTCCTTTAGTTTTTTCTGTTAAATAATCTTATGTAAAATCTACATCTACTTACTAATTTTGAGTTTAAATTATTATAGGCTAAGCAGACTCATTCGCAAATAAAACAGGTAGAGTTTGTATATTTTTGAATTCAGCATTAGTATTATCTGTTTAATTTCCAGTTTCCTTGCTCTCAGTTTTCATAGCTCCAAAATCTTATTAGACTTAAAATTAGGTTGGGTTTTCTCCTGCTAATATTTAATTCATCGCTATTATATCCTCGAAAAGTTTCTTAATAGCATCCCCATTATTTTTATTTTAACTCATGTAAACAGAAAATGCCTCAAGATTGAGAATACAGACCTTGCCACCTGCTTTAGCAGGAGAGTCTTCAAAAGTTATCATATCAGAAAAAGATATTTCAAAAGCTTGATTATCATTTCCCTTAACAGTGCCTAGTACTGTTGTTTTTTATCTGTGATTAAGTTTAGATTATGAGAATATCATTTCATTTAGATTCTCCACGATTTTATCTGCTTATACATTACCATCAATATTCTCTAGCATCTTTGTTGGCAAATGAACAATTCTTTATAGTGCCTTCATTTTCCTAGGATATAATTAAAACTATAAGATATTTTACTCGACAATAGATTCAACTTATAGAGGATTCAAACTAGTATCTTAGAGTTTTAATGTCTTATATTGCTTCTTTATCATTCTTTTCTTTTCATTTCTGAGCACTTCAGTCTCATCTGGAATAATCTAAGAATCTCCTTTTTCTTTCTATAAAGATTGTTTAAGTATCATATTTCTTACTATAGGCTTAGGAGTGGTTTTCTTAGGCTTAGAGTTTAGCTTTTCTACTAAGACTGCTTTTTTTACTGCATTTTATAAATTTTTTATTGTAGTTGCCTATATATATATTTATTAAAACCAAATCTTATCATTGAGTTAACTTATTCTAGCATGATTTCATTGAAATATTATAATAAACTCACTTACTTTATGAATAGAAGATTAAGGTTTGTCATATACTTCTTTGGTAGGATCAATTCCAAGCTATTATTGAAATAAATTTCCAAAATATACTTACAAATGCTGTAATCTAAGGTAAATTCAAGTGATCATGGATAATTCTAATTTAATGCCTTGATAGCTTTATGCTTTCTCCTCCTTCTCCAATCTGGAATTCCTTTAGACCAATTATTCCAGTATGCTTTAGGACTTTTCTTATTTCTCTCGTAGAAACCTTTAGTATCTTGCAAAGAGTTATATCCTCACTCATTTTTTCAAAGATCTCTTCATTTTCTATCAATTTTATAATATCCTCTATTTGCTCAGAGTCAACCATTTACTAATACAATTCATGCTACTCCTTTTTTAGGTATGGTGACTCTAGCTCTTAATTACTACCTAAATCTATAAAGTGATAAACCATATCCCTAAATTTAGAACTAAAAGATAGCTGTTCCTCCAGATGTTTAATTTTGTTAAGTTGAGAATTAGACTTTTGCTTAAGCACCTCAATATTCTTCATTTAATCCCTTATCAACCATTGCTATGATCTAACAGCTCTTTCCAGATTAGAAGCCCAGTGAACTGTCTCTGATAATGAACTTGCTTTTGGTTTATTGTTCAAAAGAGTCTCAATATTGTCAAAGGATAAAGTATTATTAATTCCTTTAGATTCCATATCTGCAATCTGCATTCCCAGTTGATCGATTTATCTCCTGTAATTCATTTTGCATTCTACAAGAGCAGTTTCAAGAGCTTGAATTTAGAAAGAAGCTGATTATTTATACTATAAAAGCTTTTCCTCTTGCTTTCTCTTTTGATATTTAAGTTCTAGTTAGTAACCTTTTTCTTCATGCTTAAGTTCCTCTTCAAACTCCTCCTTTGTTTTCCATAATTCGCACCAATACTTTTCTATCTCATTCCAATTATCTAACGGTTTGTTACGCCAATCATACATAAACTCTATTGACTTACTTCTAAGACTTAAATTTGCTCTTTAAGGATCGAATTTTTACAGATATAGATAATACCTAATCAAAGGATCAACACTGTCAGAAGTGAGAGTTAAATCTTAATGAAAAATATCATTTTCTATCTCAAGATCTTCTACTTTTTTCTCTATTTAACTTATATCCTTTTTTATTAGGTGCAATTATCTTCTTCTAGCTACCTCTTTTTAATATTTTTTCTGTATTTTCTCGACAACCTTCATCCTTTAATGATAAGTGGTAATAGGTTAAGAACCCAGCATAGCTGAAAAATCGAATGTTGCTGGGTCAACATACCAAGGATCATCTGGCTAAACTTCCATCACATGAGGATCTTAATTTGAGAAGCCTCTGATAGACTTTCTGCGTTTCATTTTCACAGTTGGGGAATGGACCTATTTAGAATCCTTATTATGACTTGCTCTATTTCTATTTTTCATGAAGGCAAAAGCTAATTCACTTATCTAATTCAAATTACTTAAGTGTTCTCCAGAAGGGGAGTTATTCATGGTTTTTATGGTCCTTTGAGAACTCTGTTTACCGTCATTTGCATCATAATGATGCTTTGGGGATAAAGAACCATCAATAAGGGTAGAGTTTGATGTCTTTCCTCTCATATTTTAATTTCTCTTAATTGATTCAATGTATTTTTTAGCGTTGCCAATGCTTCTATCTGGTGCTCTGATTGTTTTCAAAAATTACGTTAACTTATCTTTTTTGTGTTTCATTTCTCTTTCCATAATTTCTTTAATTTAATCTGTGAAATTACCTACGAGATCCTGCAATTTCTTATTTTCAAACATCAACCTAGCCCAAATGAATTTATTTTGTTCAAGTGATTTAGGCAAAGAAATGTTGCTTTCAATCTAATCGTTCATTTGAGAAAGTGTTAACAATATAAGGTTATCCTTTATTTTTTCCTTGCTTAGTTCTGGCTAATCATAGTGCTTAAACATTTCATATATCTCTTCTTTATCCATTACTTTAAGCGGATCTTAAGTCTTTTATTGCTCCTCAACATTGATTGATGATTTCTTCAAACCTAGACTAAGATTAGGCTTAGTAACTCTTCAAGCAAGTCTGATTTGAGATTTCATCTGAGAATTTTAGAAGGAATTTTATTCTAAATTGTTAGAAATGTCTGATTTATTCATTGTATATTTAAATATTGATTCTTAAATTTTTATAAAATAGAGTCACATGGGGTTTTGGGGTTTTGGGG